TTTACATGAAAATTGTCAATTAAAGGAAAATATTTTTTTACTATAATTCTTAGAATTGGTTTCCATTAACGAAAAAAAAAAAAACATAAAAAAAAAAGTCGCTACATTAAGGTGGAATTTGAATTCTTCAAATTCCACCAAAATAAGGAAAATTCCAAATTTCAAGAAATTCAAGAAATGCAATTCCACGGAAAATATAAGGTATCAAACACCAAAAGTTGGAATTTTCAATTCCAATTTCATCTTTTTTTTTCATTTCCATGCTATCAAACACTCCCTAATATTTTTAAGTATTTATCCAAATATTGTTATGTTTGCAGTAATAAACTAAAAGCTATCATTGTATAAGAGAAATATTACAAAAAAAAAAAGGGAAAAAGAAAATGTTAAAAGATGGTAGAAGCAGACAAAAATTGGCCGCTTAGGTGGGGTATCGTGGGGGCGCCTTTAAGGTGATAAAAGAATCCCACTTAGCATTTGTCTCTAGTATGGTATGGGAGGTTCAAAAGTTAAAATCATATCCTACTTTATTTTTTTGTACTGTTCCTTTGTTATTTTCTTTTTCGTCAATATTTGCAGCTTTATTCCTTTGATTTTTTAAATATTCCGGTCTGAACAATCTTTAGCAAAGAGTCGGTATAATTATTGGAAGGAAAAAATCATTTGTGCAGAAAATGTTGTACAGAAGTCATACAGATACTCACATGAAAGGTGAGGACTCTTGTAAATTAAATAGAAGAATGTCATTTGTACAGAAATTTTTCCACAGAATTTGGCCAGATTACTCTCATGTGTAGGACCCACAATAAATAAAAAATTGTCAAAAATATCCCCACACACCCCATATATGTATGTTCTGGCAAGCTTCTATATGAAGTCTGCCTTTATACATAGCAGGATCCAATTAAATATTGTCCAAAAAATTGGACCCTACATGTTTGTGTATTTTCTGGAAGGCTTCACATTAAATTAGCTGCAATTTTGGTTATTGGATGGCGCCAGAGCCCATAATACTTCTGAAAACTCCATCTATTCTTTGGACGAATTGTCAATTTTGTAGGCTCACAAGCATTCCATGTAGTTTGTCCGGCTTCTACAAGTTGATTAGACACATTAATTGACTTTTTTTGTTTTCTAATTTTTAGAAAAAGTATAGTTACTTCAGCTTTTGCAGTTGCAGAATCATCAAAGTGCAACAGTGCAGACCGAAGCCTGCTCTCCAAGGCTTTCGCCTCTGTTTCTGGTTTCAACATCACCTGGTTTAACAACTCCCAACCCAACTGTTCAAATCCTCCAATTCTTGACGTTAAACTCGCATCAAGAAATCTTAGTGGTAGCATCTCATGGAAGTTCCTCAAAAACATGCCCAATCTTCAAACTATAGATCTCTCCGGAAATAATTTGACTGGCTCTGTTTCTTCTGCTCTTTGGTCTATTCCAACTCTTGTGGAAATTAACCTGTCGAAGAACAAACTAGGAGGCTCAATCGGGATCCCAAAACCTGCTTCTTTTAAATCTTCAGCAATTCGAAAGATTAATCTTTCTTTCAATAGGTTTAAGAATTTTACTTTTCTCTCTAATTTTCTTAATCTCACTTTTCTTGATCTTTCACACAATGATTTACAAGTTGTTCAACTGAATTGGCTCACCAACTTAACCAATCTTGAGAGTCTTAATATTTCTAGCAGTAATATTTCTGGGAATATAAAGCCCATTTCAGGTCTCTCACATTTGAAATATCTTGTTGTTTCAAATAATAAATTGACTGGAAATTTTCCTGCTGATTTCCCACCCATAGGTAAACTCCAGTTCTTGAATGTCTCGTTCAATAACTTCTCAGGCGAATTGGATTCAAAAATGGTAAAAAGATTTGGTAGTTCATCTTTCATTCATGCCGGAAATTTCAAAACTCAGAATCATACTGAGTTGCCCCATCGTTCACCCATCCCACTTCACAAAATACCAGGCAACAACGTAAATTTCATCCAAAAAAGGAAACCCAAATCGAAGACCAGGATTCTGGTTTTAGCCATATCACTCGCATCAGCATTTCTTGTCTTGGCTATTGGGGTTTTCACATATTGCGTGTACAAGAAGAGAAAGATGGCTAGACAAAACAAATGGGCAATTTCAAAGCCAATTGAAGTACCATTTAGATTCGAAAAATCTGGTCCATTTTCATTTGAAACGGAATCCGGGTCCTCATGGGTGGCTGATATTAAAGAACCATCTTCAGCACCGGTGGTCATATTTGAGAAGCCATTGATGAACCTTACATTTAAGGACTTAATTGCAGCCACATCACACTTTGGGAAAGAGTCCCTTCTTGCAGAGGGTAGATGTGGGCCCGTGTACACAGCCGTACTACCAGGTGACCTCCACGTGGCAATCAAGGTCCTGGAAAATGCTAGGGACCTTAGCCATGATGAAGCTGTAGCCATGTTCGAAGACTTATCAGAGTTGAAACACCCCAACTTGCTGCCTGTTTCTGGCTATTGCATTGCAGGTACGTGGTCTTAGTCTTGTTTATACATTTGTTCACATCTGGTAAGTTCCATAAATTCTGTCGGCTAATGTAAAAATCTAAAGGCTATGAGAATTAATGATTTAGCAGTGCCCAAATTCAATGCGTTCACGTGAATGGCACTTCTAAGAAAATGTCACAGAAATTTCAACTCCTGCCTGCAATTTTCTGGTGCATAGATGTTAGGCATGTGATTTGAATTGAAAAACGAGGCTTATTGGTAACTCCAATTTTGAGGGTCCCACGGTTCCTCCTCTAAAATTTTGTGAGAAAAGTGAATCGTAGTATGTGTCCCAACAAGTTGGAGAACAAAAGCTGTCTGTATATTACGACTACAAGGAGTCTAATTTCATGTCTAAAGAATCGAATCTCCACATTGCGACTGTCAGCAAGACGTGTGATAACATTACTCCTGTCCTTTGGACATGCCTGAGGGGCGAAGCTTACTAGTACTGTAGCATAGAAGCACGTCTGTCCTTGAAATTATTCTTCTGTCTTCCGTGGACAAAATATAAAAATTTTCGCTACTAACATAACAAAATAAATTATAATTTTATGAAAACCCTACTTGTGGTTCTCTGAGTTTTTCTCACCACATCGAAGCACGTCTGTCCTCGAAATTGTGCTTCTGTCTCTCTTTCAAGCAAGATAAAAAAATTTCACTGCTAACTTGACAAGATAATTTTACTTATAATTTTATGAAAACCCTAATTATGGTTGTCTGAGTTTCTCTTACCAGGTTTTTAATCTATCTACGATTGACAGGAAATCAAAGAATCTAGTTAAGTGAAAATTAGTAAAGAGTAATCACTTATTTATCTTGAGTTAAGATTCTTCTCTGATGTATAAACCTAACTCATTAAATGAGATACATTTTGACTGTGACTTAACATTAATGTAGTATCAATTTGGTAAGTTGTTTCTTTATGTGCAGGTAAAGAAAAGTTGGTATTGTATGAATTTATGGCCAATGGTGATCTCCACCGTTGGTTGCATGAGCTTCCAACGGGAATACCCAACGTGGAAGACTGGAGCACTGACACGTGGGAGCTTCAAAATGGGTCCCATAATACATCGCCAGAGAAATTGGAATGGCACACGCGCCACCGTATTGCAGTGGGTATAGCGCGTGGACTCGCCTATCTACACCATGCTCGGTCCAAGCCGGTGGTGCACGGACATTTGGTTCCGTCTAATATCTTGTTGGCGGATGACTTTGAACCCCGGATAGCTGACTGTGCACTGAGTCAAGACCGAGTTGGTGGCTCCACCGAGGCTGATGTTTATAGTTTTGGTGCAGTGCTAGTGGAGTTGTTAACAGGAAAACAAGGTTCACGTGAGACTATCGACTGGGTGAGGAGATTAATAAAGAATGGAGAAGGGGAGAACGCTCTTAACTCAAGGTTGAGACTCGGTCGTGACTCAGTTAGTGAGATGGTGGAGTGTCTCAGAATTGGGTACTTGTGCACGGCGGAGGCGCCAGGAAAAAGACCCACGATGCAACAAGTTTTGGGTTTGCTGAAAGACGTACACCCCACACCATTAGAGTTTGTCTGAGTTGACTCGGAGTATCCAAATTGACTCAAAGCGCGTCATTCATTCATTTTCTTCTGTTTATCGGCCCTAAATGAATGCAGTCAACTAACAGACAGCTGGTTTACATTTCCACCACGGCGAATGATCACGTGCACTGCACGTGACTTGATTTCAGTAGAATTTATTTCTCCATATGTGATATTAAAAATCAGTGCATGCCTCCTTTGTCTTCATTTGAAGTAACTATTTTTTTTTCTTTTTTTTTTTAAAAGTATTTTCTTTTAATTCTTGATAGGGATTAAAATTAAATTAGTCACATATTTCATAAGATTCATAACTTTTAACTATATATTTTCATGATTTCTGATCAAAATTTATTAAAATTTTAATTTTAATCCTCGTAAAATATGAGTTTAATTTATTAAAATATTTAATGCTTGAGGAAAGAACTTGTGTATATTGCACTAAGGGTCCGTTTGATTGCAAAGATGGAATTGAATTGCCTAAAAAATGAATTCCAGAAAATTGAATTGTCTAGAATTGTTTTCCTGAGAATTGTAAATTATTGTGTTTAATTGGTATAATTTTTCAGTTGAAAAATGTTGAAATAAAAGTATTTTCTTATATTCGTTTGACTTTGTTTTACATGAAAATTGTCAATTAAAGGAAAATATTTTTTTACTATAATTCTTAGAATTGGTTTCCATTAACGAAAAAAAAAAAAACATAAAAAAAAAAGTCGCTACATTAAGGTGGAATTTGAATTCTTCAAATTCCACCAAAATAAGGAAAATTCCAAATTTCAAGAAATTCAAGAAATGCAATTCCACGGAAAATATAAGGTATCAAACACCAAAAGTTGGAATTTTCAATTCCAATTTCATCTTTTTTTTTCATTTCCATGCTATCAAACACTCCCTAATATTTTTAAGTATTTATCCAAATATTGTTATGTTTGCAGTAATAAACTAAAAGCTATCATTGTATAAGAGAAATATTACAAAAAAAAAAAAGGGAAAAAGAAAATGTTAAAAGATGGTAGAAGCAGACAAAAATTGGCCGCTTAGGTGGGGTATCGTGGGGGCGCCTTTAAGGTGATAAAAGAATCCCACTTAGCATTTGTCTCTAGTATGGTATGGGAGGTTCAAAAGTTAAAATCATATCCTACTTTATTTTTTTGTACTGTTCCTTTGTTATTTTCTTTTTCGTCAATATTTGCAGCTTTATTCCTTTGATTTTTTAAATATTCCGGTCTGAACAATCTTTAGCAAAGAGTCGGTATAATTATTGGAAGGAAAAAATCATTTGTGCAGAAAATGTTGTACAGAAGTCATACAGATACTCACATGAAAGGTGAGGACTCTTGTAAATTAAATAGAAGAATGTCATTTGTACAGAAATTTTTCCACAGAATTTGGCCAGATTACTCTCATGTGTAGGACCCACAATAAATAAAAAATTGTCAAAAATATCCCCACACACCCCATATATGTATGTTCTGGCAAGCTTCTATATGAAGTCTGCCTTTATACATAGCAGGATCCAATTAAATATTGTCCAAAAAATTGGACCCTACATGTTTGTGTATTTTCTGGAAGGCTTCACATTAAATTAGCTGCAATTTTGGTTATTGGATGGCGCCAGAGCCCATAATACTTCTGAAAACTCCATCTATTCTTTGGACGAATTGTCAATTTTGTAGGCTCACAAGCATTCCATGTAGTTTGTCCGGCTTCTACAAGTTGATTAGACACATTAATTGACTTTTTTTGTTTTCTAATTTTTAGAAAAAGTATAGTTACATTGGTCAGCCCCATTCCAAGACCGAAATCTTCAATACGTTGACTACACCAAATAAAGTTATTTAAGGGCATCTTCAGTGGTAATTTTGAGAATTAATTTTTTAATCAATAAAGATAAAAGTGGGTTCATCTGTGAGTGAAAAAGTAAAAAATTACGGTTAACAACAGAAAGTAACGACTAAAAAATTGATTTTTTGAGATGAAAAATCAGAACCAAACGGGAACTTATTTTCAAGAAAGCAGCATATACAATTTGATTGAACGATATGAAGACATAATTTCAATTTACTATAACAAGCTCATTGGAACTCACTTATATCTCAATTCTCTTCACTCACTCTCTCAATGGCATTACATATGCATGGATCTCGTATATATACATGTTGTAAGTCAGGGGTCTACTCCTCGTTAGAAAAATCATTGTTAGAGTGAGCAAATAACTACTTAGCTTTGTATAAATTACATTAATTGTAGGAGAGCCCCTAACGTGGATGCAATTGACATTAAATTGGTGAAATTGAAAATTAATTGGAGTTGACTCGAAGTACTTGAAGATCAACCGAATTGCAATCAAACATTTGGAAGTATTAATAAAGCAATAAGAGGAAATACGTAGGTTTCAGGAGTTAAATTCAACATATAAAAAGTTTGAAAATCAAATTGTAAATTTTAATAACTTAGCATTGATCAATTAGTGATGATTTTGGGATGATGAGGATTTAATTTAGAAGATAAAAAGATGAAGGACTAAAGGTGAAAAAAAGGATTCAACAGTGAGTTGAGCCTTGTATTGTGGCTAGTCAGGCATGTTGATTTTTTGTTTTCCTTTTTCGATTGAAACTGTATTTGATAATGAATTGGGCTATTGGGTACAAATTTTGACCAAATTCTTAAGCCATAAATACATATCTTCATCCAATAATTAGAGGGGGCTTGAGGAAATTAATTATATAAATATTATCTATAATATATTAAAATATCGCATCAAATTCAATGAATTTTCATTTGATAAATCTTGACTTACATGAATCTACAGTTATTATAGAAGAATTTATTCATATTCATGTATCCATAAATTTTAATGGGTGTTTAAATTTATGTATTAACAATTAATTTTTACGTATCAAATATAATATAAAAAGATTCCTCGTTTATAGTATTTTATCATTACAAAAATTTTGAATCATAGAAATTGAATTTTGAGAGTATAATTTTTTTCTCTTAAATTTTTATGTTATATTATATTTTCTTTAATTCGTCCGAGACTTATCAAATCTTTCAACAAGTTGGTACTAAATATTACTTTTACATCACTTATAAAATATTTTAGAACAACGTGCAATTCACGTACAACTTTGACTAATTCAAGCAAAAGAGAGGAAAAATTGAGGAAATCATTCAAGAAATTAAGGGTACATTTAGTTTGCTGTTTTTAAATTGTTTTCAATTTTCAATATTGTAAAATACCGAAAACATGTTAGGTGTGGTATTTCTGAAAATACATTTTCGAAAACAATTATTAATTTATAACATAAAACTCAAAACGCGTAAAAATTAAAAAGTTTCAAATATAAAAATATAAAATTCTAACAAATAATATTTAAGATTAAATTTTTTTTTTCAAGAAAAATGAATTCAAAAATAAAATTGATAAATTCTAAAAAATAAAAAAAAACTCAAAAATTAAATCTAAAATTCAAAAAAAAAAAAATCTGAAAAAAAAAATTTGAAAAATTTATAGAAAAATAAAAATTATAAAAAATAAAATAAATTAAACTCTTAATGATTGTTTCTATTTTTATTTCTTATATTTTGAACTCTATTTATTATTTGTTTCATTTTACTTGTATAGAGAGAAAATATATTTTAAGATTCATTAACTTGAAAATGTATATATTACTTGATAATATATTAACAAAAAATTCTTCTATTTTACCAAATAATCAAATTTAACAGAACTAAATGTCATAAAATAATTTTTCAAAATTTCAAACTAAAACATATTTCTGTTTTGAGAAATAATTTTTCAAAATAACAAACTAAACATATTTTTAGCAATCTTAAAATGGGCCATCGAAATAGAAAACTAAAAATAAATTCAAAACTGAAGTATAAACCAAACGGGCCCTAGAATTTCAAAGTTTTTACACGAGGAAGATAGATTCTTAGTGCAAAATATTCAACTTTTTTCCCATTTTCCTTAAAATCTAGCGGTGTTTTCCAAATTTTTCTTGTATTTTTCTTTTTTCATAATCTGTAACAAAAAAATAGTTAGGATGGATGATCGTAACCTTATTTTCAACCTTAATTTTAATAATGAAGTTTTTTAATATGCAATTGATTTTTGTAAATTGTTTTTACTTCTTTTGTAAATGACTTGAATTACTTGATCACTAATTCATTGATTTGTGATGATAGTTATGCATAAAAGTAAGTGATGAAAGTTACTCAGTTTCTCTACTACGCTCACTCCTCACTAGATAGCAAGAAAGCAAGGACAATTAGTCAAATCTTTCTTCTCTTAGCCTAAGAATTGCTCTTTTCAACGCTCTTACCAAATAAAGCGACTTCTACATTGATTTCTGAGTAATAATTATACATAGAAGTGAGTTATATGTTACAGTGTAGTAAAAATTTGTAATTGGAATAAAAGGGTAGATATACGCTTTTATGGTCATCATAGTCATTAATTGAATCCTTTGGTAATTTAATGCTCTTAATTAAGATGTATTTGATTTCATACGGTGATGTGAGAGTTGATAATTCAGTAGAGTTGATTTGAACTTGAAAAACGTAAATCATTAACTTAAAAGAATTCAATCGAGTATGTGTAATTAATTATTATCAATTTTTTTAATGATTCAGATTAAGGGGATCACTATGTTTAACTCGTGAATTTTAACACTTTAACCATTATTAAAAACCCAAACTTTTCCACTTATGCATATTTTTATTGTTTTAATAGAGTTATGTGATAAAAATAAAAAATACTTTTAATCGAATTGAAGATAGGAATAACTGAACAAATGATTAGATAGTAGTCTACGTGGGAACTATAATCCAAATTCTTTCTCACAATAATAGATGCCTGCAATACAAATATTCACAACAGTGATGCTTCTTTCAATTCTCGCCTCAACATTGACTCCTCGATTTAACTTTTCTCTTTTCATCATTCACAATCTAGTTCGAATTTTGAAGCACTAATTCGTTTTAGTTATCACGTCTACCACTTGTTCTTCGATGTTGACACGTTTCAAGTCAATGTCCCTTTTACACACATTTCCTTTAACGAAGTGATAGTATACTTCAAACTGCTTAGTTTTTGCGCGGAATATTGGATTCTTTGCTATTCGAATAACTGATTGGTTATGACAATATACTACTAGTGCATAGCTTACCAATTAATGTTGGTCCTTCATCAACTCATGTACTAATAGTTTAGATGTTTCTCAAGGG